CACGAACCACATCATCGAACGAAGCAGCGAAAGCTCCATTCATCTTGAGGGTTAGGGAGGGTGGGATAAAAACTTGACCAAAGCTTGTCAAGCGATCGCTTGACCCAAAATGGCCACATGTAAAGAACTGTAAGAACATGCGCATGCACAGAACTGTGACATGAACTGATCACATGGCAGCAGAACTGTTTGCATGTGACAGACATGACTGCTGATCTCACGCAGGCAAGTGACCCTCCTATCCTACCCACCAGACCGTTATAGGAGAACCACTTACCGAGCATGAACGTTCAAGAATTCACTGATCAGCAGCAAGAACCCAGAGCAGAACGCGACCGTTTTACTGCTCTGGCGTGGGGTCGAGCAGTCCTCTGCAGACTTGATCAAAATGTCTGCGACCGCAAAACAGAACTGCAATTGCAGATCTGAAGCAAGGGGCGAGCTGCCAGCGTTCCGAACAACCTTCGCGGATTCAGAACAGTCAGTACCCGAACTTCCTGAACGGGTAACGACCAGCAGCCCATCCCAGGCCCAGACCCATCCCCCGCGCACAAAATTGGATCACGAAAGAGCGGATGGCCAAGAGCAAGCCACAGTCTTCCATCCTACGGCTTCGCCGACAGACAGCTGACCTCTGGAGGGCCACCGGTCAATAAAGAAATTGATTCTGAGTTCCAGAGCAAGATCCCAGAACAACTCAATGATTCCGCAAAGATCTTGCTTAGAGGAATAGCCCTTCACGAGCGAGGCTTCGACCGCTTCCGAGTCGATCTCAGATGATCCTTGAAGGTCTCGATCGCCGAGACCGCGGCGATCATCTCGATGGGGACGATCTGGGTCTTGCGCGGGAGCAACTTACTGACCACTTTTTCGGGGATCACCTCGGAGAACTGCCAGGGTCGATCCTCACGACGATCGAACATGACTGCCCCCACCCGGTCAAGACCTCGTTCGTTCTTGCAAGGGTCTGGGGTGAAGCCGTCCGCGAAGATACTTCTTCTGGCACCTTAAGGAGATCTCCCGGCGAGGACCGCGCATGATGAGCTTCCTCCATTGCACCAGCGCCTTGATCAAGGGCTCATTGAGGCGCGTGCGAGCTTCCGCCATGTCTTTCAGGTACTGCCGCTCTGAGAGGGGGCGGAAGAAGGCTCTCCCTACTTTCCCCCAGAGCTGGCTTGCTCCGAACATCAACTTGCCCTTGAGCTTGCCCGCCGAGCCTCCCTGGAGGATGGAGTCGATGGTCTCCACGAGCTCCTCCTTCCTCTCCTTCTTGATCTCCAACCATCGAGTCCAAATTGTAGGTGACTCCCAGGATCACCGGGGAGGAGGAGAGCTGGAGATTCTTCTCATCGAACTGAGCTCCAAGCAGGAAGTGAACTTCTTCTGCCACTTTCCTTGCCCGGAGCCATGGCGCAAGTCTCGAACCCGTACTTGTCGTCACAGAAGTTGAAGGAGATCATCGAGAAGATCTCCTCGAAAATGTCATTGATGGCTGCCGACCGACGGTTGTAATTATAGACCGCGGAGACAAGACCGAAAGAGTGACCAATCATCACAAAGTAATTGGGCTTGTGGTTTCCTGGATCGTTAAGGCAGATTATGGTGAACCGGCGATGGTCCACTTTGACAGGAACGCCGATAGGCCTTCCTCTCATCGAGCACCCACCTTTCCAGCCTCTGGCGACCCGATCGGGTGAAGATCTCTCTGAGGACAGCCACGTTAAGATCTGTCGACGGCAATTGCAACTTCTCAGTGATCACTGCCGTCCTGTTGACCAAATTTGAAGTCGCGCTGTCACATCCTCTGACCTTGTTCTTCTGGACGACCTCGAACCTCTGAGTCGGGATCCACTCATCAGAGCCAATAAAGGCCGAGACCTCCGCCTCATCCGTGAGAGGACTGACTGGATAGCCTTCCTCCACGTCCTCGATAGTCGACTTCCATATGGCCCTAAGGTTGTCATTGACTGGAACTGCAGCACATCGCTGGAAGATCTTCTTCTTGAATTCCCAGGCCCTGCGAAGTGCTTCCTGAATAGGAACCGGATCTTGAGGTTTCGCGAACGTGGGCCATCTCTGAGATTCTTCAATTCAGCCCACAATGGGGAAACCTGAGCGAAGCCTCCCCAATAGAGATGCATCTTTGCAATGAGCTGCCTGCAACATCTCCTCATAGAGCTTGATATGACAAGCGCGACCTAACTGAGGAGGAGCATCATCAGGAACTCCGCGCAAAAGCGGCCACAAGTGAGGATCAGGTTCGGCGAGCAGCTCCCGATTGGATTCCGGCAGCAATTGCCGAGCACGTTGCCGCCAGAAAGCAAGCAGGCGCTCACGAGCTCGAACGAGCTCGTGCGGAGCTTGCAAGATTCGCTGGATGTTGCGCCTGATCCGTGGGCTGAGCTCAGGCGGCACGGTGAATGGGTGCACGACCTGCCATGCCCACAAGATGGCCTGTCCAGGTTCGCACTCGATCTGCAACAGCGGTTTAAGAGCACCACGTTTGAGCTGATATCCCGATGCCGCGGCTAGACGAGCAGCTTGGTGTTGCCGGTGCTCGAGCCAGGCACGCTGTGAGGCTGTGAGCCAACAGGCCTCTTCCTGTCAGAGCTGGCGTCCTTCAAGGCGAACGAGGCCTCGAACTGAGGAAGTTCCCTTTTATGACCTGGAAAACTGAGCTCGCGACCGCATCACACAGGCGATCTGGATACACTTGAGCAAGCTTTGTGGCGAACACCTTGCGGCCTCGAGCATCACGAACAAAGCCTTGTAGGGGAACATGTGGGTGATCTTCGCGGCATTGGCGTCTCCAGCGTTTGAACAACGAGTGGCTGACCAGGAACCGCGTGGGCTTCATGGAAGGAGCTCCATATTCGCATTGATCCATGTCGACCTCGAAGAGGTGGAGGTCCCGTGCCAACTGTTGGACCCATGGGACCTTCCACATGAGACTGGAGAGCGGGTTCTCGAGCGAGGTGTCCCCGCCGGCTTTGACCACGGCCTCCATAAGAAGGAGAGGTCTGGCCAGGAACTCATTCCCCGACCAGAGTTGCCACCAAAGCTGCCCCTCGAGCTCTGGGAAGCGCAAGGAGCAGACCTCCGAGCGGAGAGGCGGAGGACCGCCTGGTCGCGTCCGAGCAATACTGAAAGTGCCGCACGGGGTCCCCAAATGCAGGAAATCCACGGCACCGATCTGCACCAAGAGGAGGACAAAGTCAAAGAGATCTGCATCCAGGATGTCCACTGGCTCGCGGACCTCGCCCTCCACGGTGATGTCGATCGGCGGCAGAACTCGCAGCCCTTTTTGTTTCAGAGCTCTGGTGACGCCTGCTTTGCCTGAAAAGATCTCCAGGCACCAAGGTCCGAGGGAGAGCAGCAAGTCTGGATCTCTTGGAACCAGCGACCAGCGATCCCATGGTGGTGGTGTAAACTGCTCAGAACTCAAAACCTGACAAGGAACCACATCATCGAACGAAGCAGCGAAAGCTCCATTCATCTTGAGGGTTAGGGAGGGTGGGATAAAAACTTGACCAAAGCTTGTCAAGCGATCGCTTGACCCAAAATGGCCACATGTAAAGAACTGTAAGAACATGTGCATGCACAGAACTGTGACATGAACTGATCACATGGCAGCAGAACTGTTTGCATGTGACAGACATGACTGCTGATCTCATGCAGGCAAGTGACCCTCCTATCCCACCCACCAGACCGTTATAGGAGAACACAAAGTGAGTGAGTGAGTGATTCTTTCTGAACCTGACTGAACGGTCCTCAACGCCGAAGGGGCAGTCATCCTGACGATCGCTAAGCTTTGGCATGCTATGATGTAGGGTAGGCTTTCTGGGTCGGGTTTGACTGGGAAACCGCAACATCTAGCATGCAAATGGGATTCAGTGTCCTCATGTTTGCACTCCGAGGGCTTGAGGGCATCAGCACTTTGGGACCCTGTGTTCGGATGGCATGTTTGATCCCTCCTTCAGGTCATCGCAACGGCTGCAGAGTGCGTAATTGAAGCCGCCCAGCTGCACGTTGCACCCCCTGATGTTCAAGGGATTCAATTGTGAATTCAATTTTTCGCATAAAGGGCACATGCCTTGGTTCTCCGCAGGTTTGGGGCAAGCCACGGGTTTCTTCGGGCATGCGGTCCATGGTCTTGTCAATTGCCACCAACACACAGCTGCAGCACACCGGGAAGAATTTTGGCGGCAGGTGGATCTCAGAGTAGCTGATTTCTACACAAGAAGAAAACTCTAATCCACTTAATGGGCATCCTACCACCTAACACATGCCGCCCCACAAAAATGAGGTGGTCTCTCAATCAATACTTACAACTGGTCCACATGCACAAGATGTATGAAGCCTGTGGTCCTGAAGTAACTTTTGATCCGGGACCTAACAGCTCACATGCCAGACGTAGGTTATGCTTTCCTTGCTTCAGCTCGAGACAAGCCATGCTAGTATTTCACACACACCCACGTACATACCTGACTTTCTCACCAGGTGGTTCTGCCATGTCGCCGATCTGAGCAGATGTCTCGGATGCTGTTCTCCTCAGATGCTGTAAGATAGTGCTAGCACTACATTCCATATAAACGTATAGCTCGTCCAGGAACCAACTTTTCAAACGCGATGGCATTTGGGCGATGTTGGAGCTGAAGCCTGAAGACACTTTGCAATCCAAAGGCACCAAGCCTGCAGCCAAGCAACTTGCATACCCCGGTAGCGCATCATACATGCCTGGGCCTTGGTCGATCCGACAAAACTATAGGTTCGGCCGATTCTCTTTCTGCGCTCACTACGGAACATACAACTGAATGGCTGAGGTATCTCCTCCTTTTTTTCTGAGGTATCTCTAGGCATTGAAGAAAGTGCACGTGGAATTCGCTAGCCGCTTGAGTTTTGTTTTTGTTCAATTTAGTGGCTCAGGTGGCGCTGGAGGCTCGGGCTGCCCCCTTCTCAATGTCCGGTCCCATTCCAAGCTACGTTGCAAGATTCTCAGAGAGATGCTCTGAGCTTGCTAGCATCTACATGCCTCAAAAACAAATCTGGCGCAATTGTCAAGCAGCATCTTCGAGTTCTGCTTGTGGATTTCGGGCGTCAATAGATTCCGCCAGGTTTGGCTGTTGAATTCATGCTTAACATGGCTGCGAAGAAAAACGACGGCACCTTTTGAAGAGGAACTTTGACTATAGACCCGCGACGCAAAGACAGATGTAGACGTGAGTATCCTAAAACTAAGGCAGGCCCCAAATTAGGACGCCTGCCCTCATAAGAAGGCATGCGTAAGATTTGCAGCTCGTCCTGGAACTGAATGTGCGGCCGTTGAAACTCTTCTACGCAGAAGCCACAGATGATACATCATCTCGCAGCAGAGTCACACAGGAGATGTACTGGTTGCTAGATATGCGCCAGTCATTGCCTCAGCTGGCTGGATGGTAGAGAGTCTAGATGTGTCAGGTCGTTTGATTTGCCAGCGTTCTTTGTTGCTCAACGACTTCGCTCTGAGAGTTCAAAGTCATGGTTGAGGCTTGGTTCCCTCCTCTAGCCCACCTGAAGCACAGCAGCAAGGCACTTGAGGCCCAAGAGAGTTTGGCTTGCAGTGTTGCAAGGGACTCATCCCACCACAAGTGCGGCCTTGTGGACCTGGAAAGAGGAAGCACGGCTCAGGGTTTGAGCAGGCTTGAAGCACCAGCCCGTCTCCATACCCTTACGCAGGCCAAACTACCTACAAAGCCACATGTGGCAGAGCCAAGAGCCAAGGCCGAAGCTGAGCCAAGCTGCAGCAATAGCCCCATGTCCGGCACAGCGAGCCTTGATTCATTGATGCGTATTGTCAAGGGGTGCAAAATCTGTTACGATTGTCATCTCGCGATCTAAAGCGCTGAGGCCTGGCCTCTAAACAGGTAAGGTCCCCATTTACCCAGCAGGTTGACTAGATGGCTTGTGGTGCCTTTTTGCAGAAGGTCCAGCCAACATCATGAAAACCAGCAACTTCGGAGATTTTGCCAAATCCTGCAAAAACTAAACTGGTGAAAGTCGCTGGAATTGGCTCGACCTAAAGCGCAAGAATGTCTCTGATTGCCCTCCACCTGCTGCCATGATGCCACAAGCTTCCCCAGCCCCAGCGACAGAAGTTGAGGAAGTCGTGGTGGTTGTGATAGGACCTCTTTTGTCTTGCGGTCTGAGGGTGATTTACGCGCGTGCAGCATGCACTCGGTGGAGAGAAAGTGTAAGGTGGCCGTGAGAGTGCGGACTGTGAAGGTGCTTACTTCACAAAGAGGGGCCCAGGGAGGCCCCCTTTCCACACACCTGGCAAACGTTATGCACGGCGACTTGAATGTGTGAACTTTGTATCTGATAGATATCCTAGCAGTCTGACATTTCCTGCCTGAAATTCCTAGCCGGCAACACACATAAAATGCAAGATATAAGAGAGTGGAGGTTGCAATTATTCATTCTGCATGATTCCTAGTGCCTTTGCTCTTTATTCCTGCTGTTGCTCTTCCTCAGCCTGCTGCTCTTTCTCCTGCATGCCCGCTGCTGCGCTCCTGTTGCCACTGCTACTCCTACTCAACTTATCCTACATTTCTGACTACAACAACTATGAAAACTCTGATGATCATCAAAACGATGATGACGATGGCCTTACAGCAAGAGAAGAAAGGGAGAGAGGGAGAGAGAGAGAGAGAGAGAGAGAGAGAGCGAGAGAGAGCGAGAGAGAGAGAGAGAGAGAGCGAGAGAGAGAGAGTGTGTGTGTGTGT